AGCTGCTCAGGCAGTAAAACGGCCTTTGCACCAAGAGCTGGAATTCCCTAGGAGCTTGGAGATGTTGCCTCCTGCCCTGAGCTGTCCAGGGAGCATGAACTTCTTGACCAAAAGCACTACCAAAGGACCACCAAGCTTCTCCTTGGCCCTGTGCATCTGGAAATGGACCAAATTGCCAGCAAAAATCTGCTGAAAATGCAGAATTGGAGAGAAAACTGGTCTGCAGATCATGAGAGGAAGAGCTGGGGGAGATGAAACTTGCTCTGGTTCCTGGGAAGTGTTGGAGGAGGGTGGGTGACTGGAGAAGGAAGTAGCCAAGTTGCTTCTAATCCTGTTGTGTAGTGAATGTGGACACTGAGGTTGTCTAGATGGAATACCTGTGGGCACTAGTCCACTCTTCTCTCTTTGCATTTGGGGCTGCTGAATCAATGGCTGCGGAGCTGGACTGAGCTGTAGTTGGCCAACCAAGTCATGAAGACCTGCTCAATGCTCCCAGGAGTTGTCTGCGTGTTCTTTTTGGAAGCGTGGCTAATATGATCCATATTTGGAAAATCGTGGTTGTTGCGCTCAAAGAGGCATTCTCAGCATCTGCTTGATGGAGTTGGGGCTATGTAGGGATGGACTGGATTTAAGTAGGAAAGTTACTTAAGCTATAATAGGAAAAAGACAGTGTTAACACTGGATGAAAGGTATAGAATGGGCGTTAATAAATCCAGTGCCAAGTTTCTGCTTGGGACAAGTAATTTCCATGCTGAGGATGTTGGGGAAAGTTGGGGAAAACTTTTTCTCTGCCCTGAGGGTCTTTGCCCTGATCTGGCCCTGGGAGGGCTGTCTCCAGACATGAGCTGTGTCCAGCACAGAGGCTCTCTGGAGTTGTCTGGGCAAATCTGTTGCTGACTTTGCAGTGAACGAGAAAAGGCCTTAGCCACAAAAGACCTGGGATCTTTTTTTTCTTTGGCTACGTGACTGTCTTGCTGTAATTACTTGGCCAAGTCACGTGACTTCTCCATGCCTCAGTTTCCCTACCTATATTATTTGGGTTATGCTTCTGACTTAATAAGAGACTTTGGACTCTACCGACTATGTGGGGTATAAGAGCTTGGCACTAATGACATTTTGGGAAGATTCTCTACCCTCTTTGATTCCCGTAGCTAATTATTTCTGTTATTTCATCTGCCTCCATCTCTGGAATCGCCCACCTTCAGCGTTAATTAACTGATTAGCATGAAGGAGATCCCCTTCCATTAAGAAACAGCAGGAGGGAATGGAGCAATTTACAGCAAGTCGGTTCCTGTAGGGTACTTGCCTTCTGCTCGGCTATATATCTGCTTGTCCCATGCCCTGTAGGAGAGCTACGTTTGTTCTGCCCTGTGGATGGTTCCCCTGCAATTTTCAGTGGCATCTTGTTGAACGTAGGCTTGGGTCTCCTGAACGTCTTGAGATATTTGGCCTCTCCACAAACCCAAAGGAGGCAAAAAGGATCTGGTTCTGATTAGCTCAAGTGTCCTGGGGGTATCGAGTAGCAGGCATTAATGCCCAAGAGCAGCTTGATATGATTGCATTTTTTTTTCTCTTTTCTTGGCTATATCTTAGTCCTTCAGGTTTGGCCCAAAAGATTTCTGCTTGCAGTTTGTGACTGCTGACGTGTCTCGTGGAAACCAGGAAAATTGCACAGGAATAAGCGCTTGCTATGCATTGCTCATTTGAGATTTGTTTTTCATTGTTTCTCACTAAAAATAATATTTAAAAAATCAGTTAATCAGTGAAAAGAAACAATCACCTGTGATTTAGGAGAGGGATCTCTCATTGTGAATAATAAATTAGTGTCGTGAGACCGGGCAGACCGAATGGGTGATGAATATCCTGCAGACTGAAAGTTGTTTATCAAGTCTGTTTGAAGACTTATGACTAACAAGCTCATTTACAGAATTTGGAGCCTGTTCATGAGCTGTCCTCCAGCTGGGAGGATGTGGGAATCATCGGAAAATGTATTCACAAGTTACTCGATCATTTAAAAAAAAAAAATCAAACAAAGGCTGTTTTTTTGGGAAGAGAACCGTTATTTTCTTTCCCTCCTTCCCAATATTGTGAACGAAGAGCCCCATGTCGCTTGCTCATGACATATTTTGGTGGCAGCCCTTCCTCTCGATGGTGCATCCTAGTGTGTGTAACCGGCCATCGGCCAAGCACTCCCGTCCTCTCTGGGACAGGCTCCGGGAGGTCCGTCTGCAGGCGCCTCACGGGACAGATCCATCTCATGGATCGTGCAGTCCAAGCCCCACTGAGGGAGAGGGTTGTGGGAACTGCTGCTGTCAACCTGTGGAAAGGGGGATGAATTTGGCACCTGGAGCCTACTCCAGAGCTCAGTGGCTCAGTGCCCTTTTGCAAATCTGCTCGCCTGGCCTTGAACCAACTCCTGCTCCGTACAAAATGCTGCATCTTTCTGAGTGGAGGCAGATGTGCTTCCCCACCTCGCATCTCCCATAGCTCCACTTGGGAAGTGTCCTTGTGCTGTGTTCGGACGTGGAGGGGGAGTTCAGGTGGGCTCCATCTGCGCACGCTGCCTGTCAGGAAAGATGGAGCCCAAGTGGAAGGGAGGCCAGAGGAGAACAGCAGCAATAAGGAGAGCTTTGAAAGAAAAGGGAAAAGGTGATGGGAGAGCAGTGTTCAAATGCACAGAAGGCTGCTAAAAAAGGGGAAAGTAGAAACTGATCTCTGGGGCC